CATGCTGACTGAGGTGATCCATGCAAGCGTACCGTAATCTGTTGTGCTTATTGAACAAGCCCTGACACGAGTTCCTCACCTTCAGACCCTCGGGATACAAAGGTAAACACCAGACATCATGACAGACCCTTCTTCCTCTCCCTCTCTCCCTTTCATTCAGCCTCGGTTCTCATCTACAGCTGGTATTGTTCACACCTAGTTTTCATTCATAGATTAATTTAGAACCCTCTATTGTTGTAATAGTAAGCCAGCCATAAAGGCTTATCTTAACAGATGCTCCCCGCTCCAAACCACTGTCACTCATACATTGGCCACTTTATTGGAATACACTGGAAGAATCCACCCTTGTTAAAACCTCCCAAATCCCTTTGACACTACTAGTTATATTAATACAGAAGTGCTTTAACATTTGGGAAACAAAGACTTTATGTGGGTGTCTTTAGCCTCTACTCGATGCCTTAAAATACATCTTAAGGTTACAAATGATTTTACATTAGATTCAGTGACGTTACTGCATTTCTAAACAACTCACAAAAAGGCAGGCATCTGGCCCAAAGCAGGACAGTGGCAGTCCTCCTGAGTTGCCACATATTATACACTGTGGGTGTGATTCATTGGGACTGGGCCCAGGTAATGGGCAGTTCGAAACAACTTTCTATTTCCTTGAAATCTAGACCATGTTAGATTGTTTAACAGTCAGACAACCCTGGATTAATGTTGCACGGCAGAGCACTGCAGAACTAAACCCGTTGAATCAGCTCCAAAAGCAACATGAGACTCCAACAGGAGAGAGCTCACCATGCTCACTAATGGAGATGTGGTTAAAGGTTACACCGACAAAACCTTGCAGATTATCGTGAAATGCATTTCAAACTGGATTGAAAAAAAATAACAAACCTGTCTTTGTTAGTCTTTCCAACAATCACCAAACACCGGATTGGTTGAAATAAACCCTTAATTCACTGAGTTATATTTGAAATGGGCTGCAATTGCCGCAATGTGACGTGTTGTTTTTGCCACGGACAAGCTCAGATTGTTGTTCTAGGTTTCAGACCACATTATGGATAACAGAAGTTATCTCAGGACACTTTTCAAGTAGAGCAGGTCTAACCGAACTTCTTCATAACATGTTATTACAGAACCTCAACAGTTACCACCCATGCAAGCACTTGGCGACGGCAGGCAAGGAAAAACTTTGAACGCTTTAAAAGAAAAAGGCAGAAACCTAGGACCTTGACTCTAGGGGTGTCGTCTGCTATTTTTAGGCTTTTTTTAAGAGACCAGATGAAGACATTAAAACCCCCATACAGGTAAAAGCCCATGTAAGTTTTCAATTATAAATTATGGAGTTTGTATAAATGTTCTGACTGACAAGATTACATATAGAAACTAGATCTTAATATGATGTAATTAAATTTTATAATATATTCAGTTTTTATTACCCCTATTCTTTGTCTATTCAAGCTGAGACCCACTGTAACCCTCATCGTAGACTTGGGGCTTAATTGCATGCTGTTAATAGTTAGTTTCCTAGTACTTTTTGATTCCCAATATAAATTTGCGCCCTCCTGGTCTGTAAATGTCTTGGCAAAAAAAAGACAGTTACTTTGAATGTTTTGTTATCCGTAAATTGCGTTCCCAGAGTGAAAGGCGGATAGCGAAGGTTACCTCGAACGCTTCTTTACTCTTTGAGAGGCAAAAACGTAATCCATACAACCCTTTTAATTTTCTCCGGGTCGAACAAAGCCCCTGTAGGGTAATGAAGCTTAAAAAATAAAATTACTGACGATTGCCTTGCTGTATATATTAAGTCAATAGGATAGGTGGATGAATTCGTAAAAAAGGACCTAACGGAGGTAATCGGAAGTATATCGAATATTATCCTAGAGCCAATGATAAGTTCGTTTGTACGATTTGTAATTTAGAGGGTCTGCACACAATTCTGGAAGTGAGTGATTGTGCTTGTAGTCGTTCCTGTATTATTACGCCACTGAAGCTAACGAGTCTATGACCGTTCGATAAGAGAGTGTGTGACTGAACGAGTTGGATGAATCAGGCTTATGCTAACTTAGTTGCATAGTAAATAAAAACCGACAGTCAAGTTAACAGAAGATAAGGGCAATACTCCCCACTTCACCATTGTGCGTCAAGCATAATCCATACAGCTGGCGGTCTATACTGGTTCTCCCCGTCGTGTTCCTTCACATTAAACTATTTGCGTCACCGAATTTCTATCGGTGCCCTCTCTTTCCGGATAGCCCTGCAATTATTCTATAAGAAAATATGAGAAATATCCGTCATCATGAGACGCTCGGGGTGGCACCAGGCGAACAGATACAATGACGGGGCGAGTAGGGCCTATCACTGTTCGGTGGCTAACCAGGGTAGTCCCCTGAGAAACGAGCATATATGGGGGTGTACTCATTGGGATCCCGCCATTCAAAAGTCCCGTTACCGTATTACTTAATGATTTATTTCGTATTACCTATTTATACCATCTAAATACTCACTTAATCGCATTCTCTGGGGTATCGTCCTTTTATCAGATGCCCGCCCTATCGATAATAGGCGTGGAATTGGTCTGGGGAACACCATTTGTTCAGGAAAAGACTTATGCGGAATGTGATTCTGTAACACAGAGCCTCCTCAAATTGCTTTTAAAATTGCGTGTTAAAACAAGTGACATCATACAAAATAAATCTACTTTCTAAGCCTTTTATAATTAAACATGAATAACTAATGTAAATTAGGCCATCCTACGAAATGAACATAAAACTTAACAATAGAAAGGAATATATCAGCAGCACCAAATGAAGATATAATATTTAAATAATTAACAATATTATACTGAGCCAACCTGAACACAATCATCCACCAGCACGTCGAAACTTTATTTACTTTTCGATCAGCAATTTAACTGCGCTTGACTATGCTGCTCGAATACACAAAGCATCGGATTTCTCAATTACTATATTTTAACTGTACGGGACAAGCTACAAAGGTCTGCTGTGTGCTGCCAATTCTCGGTAACTTTAGAAATATACTAATTATAAAATTAAGTGCATGATACTGAAAGACTGCTCCTCTTGACTGTTGGGTCCTTTTTCTTATACCGCGGAGTGGAACAAAGACGGTAATAGCAATATCCCTACCCTCCAAGCTTTTGGCAAACCTTTATTGATAGACACTAAATGTTAACCTGTCGCTAATTGGGCCATCCTATAAAAGAAGTTGTGTTCCCCACGTTTACTACCAGAAAAATGAGATAATTCAAGGAGTTATATTGCTACCTGTCCTTATCGCTTCTACCGTACCCCTGAGTCGATTTTTGCCCTGCCTAGTCGAAGATAGAAGAATTAGCAAGCCAAACTGTAACACTTCTTACCATCGCGATCAATCCCCCGTATGATCAGCGCTAAGTTAACTCGCGATCCAGGCGACAGTTTGATTTATTCACAACAGACTATACACAATGAGATTATTACTTGTTGAAAGATAACTGTATTGGCTCCTAACAAATTACAGTTTCACG